AGGAAGCTGTGGAGGCACGTTCCCATTGAGTGTCTACTGAACACCGCAGTTTGCTATGCGCTGTGCTGGATGTGGCAACAACAGCAGTTAAGAGGGGACGGGTCCAGCGGCGCCTGGGTGGCTCAGTGGGTTAAGCTTGGGCTTAAGCCATGATCTTGCGGTTCATGATTTGGAGCCCCGGGTCGGGCTCTGTGCTGACAGCTCGGACCCTGGAGCCTGCTTCGGAGTCTGTGTCTCCCTCTCTCTCTCTCTCTCTCTCTGCCTGGCATGTGCTCTCTCTTTCTCAATCAATGCTTAAAATAAAGTTAAAAAAAAAAAAGAGGGGACAGGTCCCTGTTCTCAAGCAGATCACCTCCAAGTGGGGAACAGAGAATAAAAAAATAAGCATGAGCATTCCGACGGTGATAAGTATCGGAAGGTAAATTGTACAGTACTGCACAGCTAAGAGCTCTCCAGCGCAATCAGTACAGTGTAAGCCATGGGACATGAGCGCAATGAGTGTTATGGTTGATCTGCTGTAAATAATGCAGAAGTACTGCAAATATAGTCTACAGAGGAGCACGCCTAGTAAGTCCGAGGAAAATAGTGTACTGTGGATGCAGAGTGACCAGGCCAGCAGGTGCCAAGTTCAAATTATAAATGACTCAGGGGCGCCTGGGGGGGCTCCGTCGGTTAAGCGTCTGTCGGCTCAGGTCAGGATCTAGCGGTTGGTGGGCTCGAGCCCCGCGTCGGGCTCTGTGCGGACAGCTCAGAGCCTGGAGCTGCTTCAGAGTCTGTGTCTCCCTCTCTCTCTGCCCCTCCCCCACTCGTGTTGTCTCTTTTTTTAATTAAAAAAATTAAAAAAAATAAGAAATGACTCAAACAACACCTTGGTGGAGTGACGCCTCGGCTACCCCTTAAAGCGTATGCCGCTTTTGGTGGCGCCTTACAAAGACCCATGGGCCGAACGGCTTTAAGCACAGCAGAGGGTACGTCACCGGTCAGAGGGACGGGGGTCCAGGTGGGCCGGTCCAGTGGTCCCTCCAGGGCGCGGAGGACGCCGTTCCTTCCGCCCGGCTGTTCTTGCACGCTCGCGGTGCCAGCCTGCTCCGTGGCCCGCCCCCTTCAGGGCTCTGACGTCACCGCTGCAGTCCCTGACGTCACCGGCGCTGTGACAACATCCGGTAGGACACGGAGGGCAGGTTCCCCGCACGGCTCGGAGCCACGAGACCCTGCCGGGCGGCTTCTCACGCCTCATTGGCCAGAGCCGTGTCACGTGGCCGTCCCTAAGCCAATCACTGGCAAGGAGAGGGGGTCAGCCGGCCTGGCCTGGCGGGGGCCCTGGGGCATGGGGGGCTGCGGGTTTTCTGGGTGAAATCTTAGAAACGCTGGGTGGGAGGAGGGCGTGCGCGCGCTGGGGCGCACCTGCCGGTGTGTGGTTGGACGGCCCGTGGGCAGCCGGTTGTGTGTCCTCAGGCGTGGACAACAAGCGGGTGTCAGGACGGGAGGTCAGGGAAGGGGCGCGGGAGCGGGGGGAGCCCGGGGGGCGGCCCGCTGGGAGGGGCCTGTGCGGGGGCGGGGCCGGGCCGGTACACCCGCGACTGTCCCCCGGGGTTGGCACTTTACCCCCTGCGCCTTGGGAAGTCGGAGGTCGCTGGGAGGCCTGCCGTGTGGGCAGCCGCAGGGAGGAGCCCTGGGCCAGGGGCCAGCCGTCCGGGGCGCTGAGGGCCCGCACTGCTGCCCGCGTACCCCCAAAGCCCCGGCACGCGACCCCCTCTCCTGTCGAGGATTGGATGCAGGCGGAGTGAGGGTTGTGCGGCCCGGCTCACGTCAGGAGGGGAGAAGGCCGCGGGCGAGAGGCCCCGTCCAGACGCGACGCCCCGCGACACCGGTCCTCGTTATCCGTGGAAGTCGTGTTCTGCCGAAGTCACTGCAGACGCTGAATCAGCAAACACAGCCTTAGGGGCAAAACACACGCACGTACACGTCTCACAGAAGCCGTCGTCTTAAATCCTAAAAACAGCGCATCCTGTGACATGCTCTTCATTGTGCTCAGGAGGAAACGAGGTCGGGAAGCGTGACGTGGCTCGCCCCGGCTGTCCCCTCTCCCGCCTCCCGCCCCCCTAACCCGGGCCTAGAGCAGGATGGGGCCCCTCCCTCTGCGCTGCGCTGTCCCCCCCCTCTGGTCATCGCTGCCTGAGGGGCTGAGACCAGAGGAGAGCGCAGTGGCCTGTTTGACCTCGCTGGGGGCTCGTGCGTGGGGCAGGCGACTCAAAGTCCTCGCCCTGGAACTTCCCCCGTTGCCGGGACAGTGGTGTCGCGGTATAAACAAGTGGGTACATTTGAGAACATGGCGTCCACAAATAATAAGGTGTATCCACAGACAGCAAACATTTATTCTTGGTGGTTTTGAGAGCTGGGGAGTCGGAGAGCAGAGTGTGGTGTTTGGGGAGAGCCTCCCTTCGCCCCCTCCCCCCACCCCCGGTTTACAGACAGCTGTGTTCTGGTCCTGCTCTCAAGTGGTGGAGCAGAGGGGGAAAGTAAGCTCTCTGGGGTCCCTTCTTGTAAGGGCACCGATCCCATCGTGGGGCTCCACGCTCGTGACCCCACTGCCTCCAAAGGCCCCCATCTCCGGATAGCACCATCTTGGGGATTAAGGTTTCAACATAGGAATTTGGGGGTGGCACAAACATGCCGTCCATAAATCTGCTACGTCTTGTATACACTGTCATGCACCTCTGAGCCTAGCGTTCACCAGGACTGACCTTCTTTGAGCTGTTTTAATTGAATTAATCAAGGGCAGCGATGCATACTTTCTTTTAAGGGTCTGCACGTCCCGGGAGAAAGAAATCAAATGAATTTCGAAGGCCTTTGACTCTGTTACATTCTTAATTTAAGTTTTTCCACTTAGGCCATCTTTCACTGCCTGAAAGATGGGGCAGGTGTAAGTCTGCATGAGCGCGAGAGGGTATAGACTGCCACTGTGTCGAGATTTCATTTCTTATGCACAGAAGGAGCCTCCTGGTTTCCAGAACAGGTGCGTTCCTGATGGTGGGATGTATTGTTTCAAAGCGATTTACAGGGGGCCTGAGGGTGGGTGGACAGCAATAGGCGAGGAGAAACCAGAATTTTCCACAAATGTGGGAGAGTTGAGGTGTATTCTGTAGGAGGTAGGATCAGAAAGTTTCTAGAATTGGTGCTGACCATCTTCATCGGTGCTGAAGGCAGCATTGTCATAGGTAAGGAGCCTTGTTCTCTTAGCCGGGCAACGTTTAGCGGGTCTTGGCGCCTCCAGGCAGTGAGTGCTCCCAGGGGAAGGCAGGGGTTTCTCTGAAACGGGGCTCATACCCCTTTCTGAGTGTCTGAGGGAAAGGCAGCTGGGCCCGGGATCTTGAAATAAAAACAGGCTTCTCCCTTCCATTTCTGCTCTCATCGAAAGTCTTGTTGCGATTGCTCTCTTGGCAATCCTGGGCACAGTTGTGCCGATTTACGTTCCTGGGTCATGCCCCCCAGAGACAGCTGATTGCTCCCATCATCCATTTTCTTCTCCCTTGTCCCTGGAGGGCACAGGCATACACGGTCACCCCACGCGGCGCTCTGAGGACCAGGGTTACCCAGTCAGTGTCACAGGGATCTTAGCCAATGTTCCTGCTAGGGGCCTCGGTCTGTTCTACGTAAAGGTGGCTGAAGGGGCACCTGGGTGGCCCAGTTGGTTGAGCATCCGACTTCAGCTCAGGTCATGATCTCCTTGTTTGTGAGTTCCAGCCCAGCGTCTGGCTCTGTGCTGACATCTCGGAGCCTGGAGCCTGCTTTGGATTCTGTGTCTCCTCTTTCTCTGTTCCTCCCCTGCTTACTTTCCATCTCTCTTTCTCTCAAAAACAATTTTTAAAAACATTTAAAAACAACAACAACAATAACAAGGTTTGCTTTTGGAGTTTGGAAGTTGGCACTTATGACCTTGCTTTGGACATGACCATGTGGGGCTTGGAAAGGAGGCCTGGGCTGTGAGTACCGACTCAGGTGAGGAAGAGGAGGTCAAGAATAAGTCCTCATTTGTGATTTGAAAAACACCCTGCATGGTGGCACTCAGGTCTGCCGGTGGCTCAGACTGACAGGAGACCCCAAAAAGCAGTGTGTGACCTGAGCCAGTTAAACCACATCGCTGGCTACAGGTCCTTCACCTATAGAATGACATTGTGGACCCCTTGCCATTGTGATTCTGCGGTGAATTCTCAGTTTTTGTGTCCCCTGCACTTGGAAGTGACCCTTGCCCCCTCTGCACCCTCCCCACCACATACCTCAATGACATTTTCCAGAAGGTCCAGGAGAGATGTCGTCAACATTTCACTTGTTTATCTGGAAGAGGTGGAGTGAGATGGGGGTTTAAATTGTCCGATACGTAACCTGCTAACACGTGCACATTAAGAGGGCACCCCCCCCCAGTGCTGAGTCAAAAAAAACGTAGCAAAACGCTACATCCTTACTTCCAGTCTGCAAAACTGCAGTTTAATGGGGCACCAATAATTATATCCACATTCCATGAGTATTTTTCCTACAAGGATTTTAACATAGTACAAAGCTTTCTTGGTTTTTCAGAAAAGATTCTCTTGATGGCTTGAATAAAGTCATTTTTTTTAGTAACATATGGCTACCTTTTACATATCTTCAAACATGGTGCAAGAGTGAAATATATTGCACCTGGGGTTTGATTAGTGGTGGTTTGAGTACATAAAGAAGGTGAGGTAGAGGGAAAAAACCCACAAAAGAAGCAACAAAGGTTATAGAACTCCATTAAATTATGTTTATGGTTTTACTTGTCAGTATTTTGTAATACAAAATGGTTTTCCTGGAGTCTGTTTATCAGTATTTGTCACTAATTAGTGCCTACAAATTACCTTTTGTTGGAGTCATGTTCTTCTGATTGTCTTGGTGTCTAATAAATCAGAGTTCACGAACTTTCACTGCTCCTCGGTGCCTGTGTTTTCCTGCTGATGCATCTCAGGATTCTGATTCTCCCAAAGGTTTCTAACCACTGCGATTCCATTTTTGTGAACGGGAAGGAGATGAAGAGCCAAGTGCACACGACCGTGAACTTCACCCACAAGCACTTCACCTCTCAGCTGGAAGTCACCGTGTGGGTGCCCAGGCTCCCCCTGCAGATTGAGATCTCAGACACAGAGCTGAGCCAGATCAAGGGATGGCGGATCCCCGTGGCATCCAACAGAAGGTGAGGAGCTGAGGGAGGGCTGAGTCCTGAGACCCAGGTCCCTGGGGAGATGACCTCGGGGAAGCGGCCTCTGCGGTGGTCACAGTGGCCTTGGATTGGGGTTCAGTGGACCCGACTAGGTACTTTCTAGCCTTCTGACTGAGGAAATTCTCATGAAGATACGAATAGTGTCCACTTCATAGAACAGTTGCTGGGATGCAGCATAACGCTGCAGTGCGTACGAAGCACAGAGCGCTGGGTAGAGGTGTTTCCTTGTGTCCTGTTTCCCCGTCGTTCCTTCCCGTCCATGCTGCTCATTCTCAGTTCCCTGTTCGTAAATGTCAACCTTCATCTGTGGAGCCTGGCACAGGGGTTACGTTGTGGGCTCTGGAATGAAGCCGCTGACGTGTTCATCCTTGTGAACTTCCCCACACAGAACTCTGTGACCTTGGGCCAGTTGATGAACCCCTCTGTTCCTCAGTTTTTTCATCTATAATTTGGAGATGACAGTCTCACCGAAGAGAGTGGTCCCAAGCATGAAATAACACATAGTGTAGTAGGCAGACTTCTAAAGATGACATCTCTGTAAGATTCCTGTCTCGTCACTCAAGCCCTTATCTGGTACTTCTATGAAAGGATTTTACAGATAGAATTAAAATGCTAAACCCATTGACTTTAAGAGGTGGCCCTTGAAAGCAGACATTTCTCTAGCTGGAAGATGGTACCGGACAGTGTGTAACTTTTAAAACTGAGGTGTTTGTATGCAGCATAAATCCCTTGAGATCCACCCCAGTTGTTGGCTGTATGGGGCATTCCTGTTGTTTTATCGGTGAGGGGTGATCTGTGGGGTATACCGTGTCAGCACGCTGAATCATTCACCACAGAAGGTCGGGGCCCTCCTGGATGGAGCCGCCATGACCCTCCTGTGCAAGCTTGTGTGTGAGCACGTTTTCTGGGGAAAGTGCCCAAGAGCGTAATTGTTGGGTCATATGATAAGGGCATAGTTAACTTTAAAAGAAACTGCAAACTATTTCCCAGGGAGGCTGTACCATTTCACTCTCCCAGCAGCCACGTATATTCAGCTGGTTACTCCATCCACATCCCTGGCAGCATTTTAAGAGAGTGCATACTATATGGTCCCATTTAGAATGATCTAGAAAATGGAAAACAGATTGGTGGTCACCATGGACTAGGGATCATGTAGACTATCAAGGGGTAGCTGAGGGCATCCCCATGGGGACAGACCAGTCCTGTGTCTCAGTTGTGGCTATGGTTACATGAATCCTCCGGTGATAAAATTGCATCGAGTCACACACGCACGTGCACACATGCAGTGGTTAAACTGTTGAACTCTGAATAAGCCTGTGGTTTGTACCAATGTCTGTTTCCTGGTCTTGGGATTGTGCTGTGATGATGCAAGATGTTAGCAGAGCAAAGAGCATACAGGACCTCCCTCTAAATGATTTTTTTAACTTACAGTGAATTTCTAATTAATGCAAAATTTAAACTTTTTTCTTTTAAGTTCATTTTTGACAGAGAGAGCACAGAAGGGGCAGAGAGAGAGAGAGAGAGAATTCCAAGCAGGCTCCGTGCTGTCAGTGCACAGCCCAACACAGGGCTTGAATTCACAAACTGTGATATGTGACTCAACCATAATTAAGAGTCTGCCACTCAACCTACTGAGCCACCCAGGTGCCCCGAAATTTAAAGTTAAAAAAAAAAATAGAATGCTATATGTCCCAAAACAACAGAGTGGTTTGATTAATAAAGTATTTCTAATACTTCATTTAGTCACTCACCACTCTTCTGATACTGCCTCTTTGGAATGGCACCTGTAATATATACTTAATATTGTTCTTTTTTTCGCTTCTATTCACTTACTTAAGGGAAATTTCACATCACTATCAAAAATGGCCAACTGGTAAAAAGTAATGCAATGAAAAAAAGTTGGTGTTACATTCTGCATAGATACTGCTCTTTGTCTGAGTTGGTCTTTTTCTTTTTTTAAAGTTTAATTCTTTCTCTTGAGAGAGAGAACAGGGGAGGAACAGAGAAAGAGGGAGGGAGAGAGTCCCAAGCAGGCTCTACACTTGTCAGCACAGAACCTGATGTGGGGCTCGATCTCACAAACCGTGAGATCATGACCTGAGCTGAAACCAAGAGTCAGACGCTTAACTGACTGAGCCCCCCGTGTGCCCTGGGATAACTGGTGTTTAATGAGTCCACCAGGAAGTGTCAGATAAGTGTGAGGGACAGCCCAGACCAGAGACCTTCATTCCCCGTGGTAAAATCAGAAGGATTGAAAAGTGAAATGGGAATAACTTCTCAGAATGTCATTGCGTGTTTTTGATGCCACGTCCCTTTGGTACAATAACCACCTCACTCACCAGCAAAGATATTCACCCCTCACGCTGGGAAACCACAACATGCTTGTTTACCGATGCTGGTGACAAACTGTTTCTTTCTAAATGGTTCCCAGACCTTGCAGGGAGGCAGAAGGATAGATCTTAAAGAAGATGGGTTTCCGAAGTCAAATGGAACTAAATTTGCCGACCACCAGCTGCCTCGGCTGTGTGTTAACCATGGCATCTTTGTGCAGAAATAGGAACATCTTTCATGGCTGTTTTGAAGACGCAGGGAGGTTACTTTAAGGGGGAAAAGGGCACGGGGGGCTTTGCAGCCTGGGCATGGACCCCGCACCTAGACGGCTGGATCCACGAGCGCTCATGGTCACGGGAGCAGGTAGAGCGAGACCCAACACATAGTAGGGCTGACTCAGTGCGTGTGAATCACAGCCACTGTCTCCCCGGCCCCCCACCCCTGTCCACTGATGGTTGTAGACCCGTCACCAAGCAAGGTGCTCTCGCAAAGCACACAGGACAGGTTCGTCTGGAGGGGAAGGTCCTGGAGCAGCAGAGCCAGTGAGGATTTGCCCCTCGGCTGTGCACGGCTGGGGCGGCAGTCCAGGCCCTCTGAGCCGGGGTGTCGGCTGCCAGCACGAGCGCACCCCTGCCTTCCCACATGACCCCTCAGCAACTCTGTGGCCGAGTGCCGTGGGTGGGCCACGGGGTGGGAAAGGGCACTCCAGCCTCCCTGTCCCCGGCCAGCCAGGGGCCAGTGCTGGGCCATCCCGGGGGCCCGCCCTTGACCCCACGCCTAGAGGGACATTGCGGCAGCCGGTCTCAGTGCCTGGGCCTGTGAGGAGTGAACACCATGCCCAGCGACTCTTCTGACCGGGGACTTCACAGTCCCCACAGCGGGGACAGTTTCAGACCACAGAGTTCCAGAACGCAGGGTGGGGACAGCCTCTCCCTGTCTGGGGGCCGCGTGTCCTGCGGCGGGAAGGCGGGGGTGGTACTCACCTTCCGAGCTCCAAGCAGGTTCACAGGGGCCGCCGGAAAGGAACAGACGGGGAATGAGCCGATGGCGCCCGGGTCTGGTGGGCAGAAAAACCACGTCGCGTGTTCTGTACACTCACAGAGAATCTGGAGGTTGAAGTGGGGATGCTTCTTCACAGCCGTGACATGTATCCCGGCTTGTTTGTGTCCCCAGGCCCACCCGGGAGAGTGAGGATGAGGAGGACGAGGAGAAGAAGGGGCGCGGCTGCTCCCTGCAGTACCAGCACGCCACGGTGCGCGTCCTCACCCAGTTTGTGGCCGAGGCGCCCGACTTGGGTCAGCTGAGCTACATGCTGGGCCCCGACTGGCAGTTCGACATCACTGACCTGGTGATGGAGTCCATGAAGGTGGAGGAGCCGAGGATCGCGCAGTTACAGGGCGGCAGGACCCTGGTGGGCCGGGAGCCGGGGATAACCACCGTGCAGGTACAGGCCACGCCCCCCTTGCCACGGCCCCAGCCCAGTCTGTAGTGACGAGTGTCCAGGTGTGTGTGTGTGCGCGTGCGCATGTGCACCCGCATAAGAGAATCATGGGCAGAAATAGAATAGTCCCCAATTTTAATAAAGTAACTTAAAATCATTTTTGCATCTCAGGGAGACTTGAGAAAAAAAATCTCTAATTTCTTTTACCGCCAAAGCTAAATTAAACACACAGCAGAAGCCACCTTTCCCCCAGTATGATAATTACTCGTCATATACCACTAATAGAAGATGGCAAACCTGAGAAAACTAGTTTTGTTTTCCTAACCTTGAGGGTTAACCACTTAGCTATATGTTACACTTTGAACAGTAGACAGAAATTAAAAAAAAAAATTAAAGTTTATTTACTTTTGAGACAGAGAGAGAGAGACAGAGCACGAGTGGGGGATGGGCAGAGAGAGAGGGAGACAGAATCTGACGCAGGCTCCAGGCTCTGAGCTGTCAGCACAGAGCCTGATGCGGAGCTCGAATTCATGAACCGTGAGATTATGATCTGAGCTGCAGTCAGATGCTCGACTGGCTGAGCCACCCAGGCGCCCCATGGGCAGAAAATTCTTAAATAATATGTTTGCACTAAAAATAATTTTAAAATCCACAATTAAGTGCTCTGTATTTTACTAGAGTAGGAGTAAAACTATTTTTCCGGTTAGTTTGAACGGCGTAATTATGCAGAAATGCTGCAGCATGTTTTCTAAGAAAACTTGAAAGTGTTAGCACTCATAGTTAATTGAGTCATATTTTAGGTGTTGGCAAAGCTAATTTTGATGAAGCTGGATGGAACGTGCTCTATTTTGTATTACTCTTCCGTGGTTCTGTGGTATGTTATAAAACGAGTGGCTAACAGCACCGCTCGTTCATTAACTCGGTTCTGTAGGTCAGGAGTCAACGAGAGCTGGGCAGGGTTCCGTGCTCAGGGTATCACAAGGCTGCGGTGAAGGTGGTGGCCAGGCTGGGCTTCAGAGAGGATGTGCTTCCCAACTCATTCGGGCTGTTAGCAGATTGCAGTTCCTCGCGGGTGTAGGACTGAGGGTTTCCTCACGGACTGCCAACAAGGGCCACTCACTGCTCCCCGAGGGGCCACCTGTATCACTTCTCATGTGGCCCCTCCGTTAGCAGTAATATCTGGGCCAGACCCTTCCCACACTTTGAATCTCTGAAATGTTTTCTTCTGTCACCAGCCAGGGCGAGCTCTCTGCTTTAAAGGGCTTCACATGTTACCATTGCACTCCCCTTGGATAATCCAGCATGAGCTCCCTATTTGAAGGCAAAGCTGCCTTAGAAACACACCGTAATCATGAGAGTGATTTCTCATCATAGTCCCATCTTCGGGGCAGTGGGGGTGGGGGCAGTTCCGGAAATTCTGCCCGCTGGATATTCCTCTCCATGTGTTGGTCACCATTGGTTGCAAACTAGATGGTAGATGAGAAGGAGTGGCTTCTCCGGACATAAAAAATCCCTCTCCCACTTTGCTCATGTGGTCTCTCTGGAGGTGACACAGTGGCCCACCCCATGATCACTGTTGTCCCATAGTGCACAGCTAACTGCCCACTGGAAGGAGGTGAGCAAGAGAAGGTGGCTGAGCCCTGTTCCATGTAAGAGCTCCCCCCCAATTCTGCCATTTTCACATCTAAGTATTAGTTGTTGCGAAACCGTTGCTCTTTGAGTGCCTGGTCCCAAGGTGGGCAATTTTTAGCTATTGTCTCTATGTTAAATTAAGCTCTTCTTGGAAAATACACTGTCGTTGTCATGCTGTGAATCAAAGGCAAGGAACTGGACCAACATGATGTTCATGAGTCTCCTCCAGCTGGCAAGTGTCATTGGACCACAGCATAACCTTACCTACAGAGTTCCTCAAAGTGTACTCATTTGGCAGACTGAGGGAACATGCTGGTGGGAAAGGTCAGTTAGGAGTTTAAGACGGTTGTGTGTAGCAGACCCTGAGCTTGCTCGCTTCCTTTGAAGGTGCTCTCCCCGCTCTCTGACTCCATCCTGGCCGAGAAGACGGTGATCGTCCTGGATGACCGCGTCACCATCGCCGACCTGGGCGTGCAGCTGGTGGCTGGCTTGTCTCTTGCCCTGAAGCCTCACAGAGCGGACAAAAGAGCCATCGTCTCGATGGTGGCCGCCCAGGACGTTCTCCAGGCCCCGCAGCAGGTGGGATTCCAGAGTCCTTTTGTCCCCGGTCATTGAGACCACTTCCCTCCCCCTCGCATCTGCAGACGGCATCAGTAGAGCTAGGATTGGGGGCGGGGGTGGGCATGAAGCTTCTTCCTGCTTCTTATTCAAGAAAAATACCAGTGACTTAGATACATTTTCTTCATACTGGTTTTATACATCAACCATGTGTCCATATACCATTTGCTTTACAGCAGCCTTATGTGTGCTTGACACACTCTGCTGGACCATGACCATGGGATCACAGGTTTTTCCTTTTGCCAAAGCAGGTTGTTTTGATACTTGGAATTTCCATGTCAGCTGCTTGAACAAGCATGACTAATGGGCACCAAATCACCACCGTTTACAGTCATTGCCAACTCTAAAGCTCCCCTCCGTCTTTAAACTAGTAATGAGTGTTTATTAAGATACCAGGGTGCTGTGCCTTTCTGGTGAGCTCATTCCCGTAAGGCGCCTTTCCCCAGGCCCCTCACCCGGTGCGTGTTTTGCTTCATCAGCACTGGCTTCCTAATAAAGAATGTTCAAAGTGATATTATCTGGAGCAGTAGCCTGATTAGTTGCACCTGATCCTGATTCAGATAAATTGCCTGATCTTTCAAAATGTTTTCTAGAAAGGTCAAAGTCAACTTCTATTGTGTGGCATGCAATAAATTAATATGCACCTTAATGCATTCATTAAAGTATATTATTTGCTCCTCATATCAGTGGAGCGATAGTGTATTATTGATGTCAGTTCAAGGCATGCCAAGAACGGTTCAAGATTATAAAACATAGAAGTTTATTTTTCCAGTCTGTATATTTAAGTGATATTATATAAGAAGTCATATTTATGTTTGTAATTTGAAGGAACCTGATTATAACATAATGCTTTGGTTTCATTTTTCCTAGGAAGCGATAGTCAGTTCTTGGATTTTGTTCAGTGATGGTTCGGTGACACCCTTAGACATTTATGATCCCAAGGATTTTTCAGTTACTGTGTCGTCATTGGATGAAATGGTGGTGTCTGTCCAGGCAAACCTTCAGTCCAAATGGCCGGTTGTGGTTGCACAAGGTGAAGGCCAAGGTCCCCTGATTAAATTAGAAATGATGATTAGTGAGCCCTGTCAGAAGACCAAGAGGAAGAGTGTTCTTGCTGTGGGTAAAGGAAATGTCAAGGTCAAATTTGAACCAAACGTTGATGAGCACCTGGGAGGCACCAACGATATCGAGGGCTTCAGTCGGGAATATAAAGACCACTTCAGTAATTCCATAGGGCGTGAAGGAAACCAGGAGAGAGCGGTTCAGGAGTGGTTCCAACATGGCGCCTCTGTTGGCCAAGAGGAACGTAGCAACAAAAGCACAACCCCACAGTCCCCCCTGGAAGGAAAGGATAAGAAGTTACTCAAGAGTGGCGGTCCAGACGCCTTCACAAGCTTCCCCACTCAAGGGAAGTTACCGGAACCCAATAATCCCAGTGACCTTACAGTGACCTCAAGGGGGTTAACTGACTTGGAGATCGGCATGTACGCTCTGCTCTGTGTCTTCTGCCTGGCCATTTTGGTCTTCTTAATCAACTGTGTGGCATTTGCTTGGAAATACAGACACAAAAGATTCGCTGTGAGCGAACAAGGCAACATCCCCCACTCCCATGACTGGGTCTGGCTTGGGAATGAAGTAGAACTTCTGGAAAACCCCGTGGACATCACCCTCCCATCGGAGGAGTGCACAACCATGATAGACAGGGGGCTGCAGTTCGAGGAGAGGAACTTCCTTCTCAACGGCGGCTCCCAGAAGACTTTCCACAGTCAACTACTCAGACCCTCTGACTATGTCTATGACAAAGACATTAAAAGTGAGCCTATAAACCCATCGGGCCCAAAGAGGAAGAGAGTCAAGTTTACTTCCTATACCACCATCCTCCCGGAGGATGGCGGCCCATATACCAACTCCATCCTGTTTGACAGTGAGGATAACATCAAGTGGGTCTGTCAGGACACCGGGCTGGGGGGCCCCCGGGACCTTAGAGACTATATGGAAAGGCTGCAAGACCAGATGTGAACTCCTTTCTTACGTTTGTATTCACCTTTATGCCTTCTGTTTTTTGAACGGTGGAGCAGTGAGTTTGTTCAGCAATAGGGGATGATTTAACAAAGCTTAATTTGTGGAGGTCTGGGAGGGATCCTTTTATGAGCAGGTGTCAGAGGCCCAGAGAGCTAGAGCTGCCAGGTGATAAGCCAGGAAATGTCTCTAAAGCGGCCACATGCAGATCCTGGAGAAATTCTAAGACGACAGTTGTATCTGCTGCCTGGTACTAGCTCAGTTCAAATACAATAAACCTGACCCCACAGACGTTGTTAGTCATCTCGCGACAAACGGCCGTGTGGATTTAGAAAAGGCTTGGGTGTTGATTTTTCTATTCCTAGAACTTTTAAAGCACAGCGGACATTCCTTGCCCTTGGCCTGAGATGGGACGTACGTGAAAGATGCCGAATGTAGCCGCCCTTATTTGTTATGAGCGCTGCTCGTTATTTTTATATACATTTGCACCTGCACCTGGTTTCCTTTGGCCTCTGGAATTCTTTTTGAAACGTGAAGAAAAGCAATTGTGGTCTTCTCTCTGAGATGTTTCATTTACACATGAGTTTGAGTCGCTGGCGTTTGCCGCGTCCCTTCAGGACGTTAGGTGTCCTCCAGTTTTCCACACTCCTCACCTAGGGGGCCATATCTGAGAAACTTCTCCTCATGCTGTCCTTCCTTCTCTTTGTTGTGAAGCTTCCTTGTATCAGGACTGGGGCCATGGGGTTTTACATAAAATATTAATATCCTGTGAGGGAGGGCCATGTCTTTACAGTTTTCTATATGAAGCTTAAAAACTTTGGTGAACACATGTCAGCCACATTTATTTTTTATCTTCTGCCTGTGGAAGATTCACGGGAATTCCTGGAGTGCATTTCTGAGGGTTTTAGAAAAGACCCCGAAATAGTTGTCTTTATACTGGTGCTTTCTGGTCAACGCAATGTGTTATCCGAACTGAAATCAAAATTTTAAGTTAATATATACAGAAAGGAAGTTGCGTGCAAAGTACATTCAGATTAAACTTCCATTTTACCAGAACAACAACCACCACAATATGAAAGTAAGTAGAATGATGTTTCCACTTAGCAATATGTAGAAGTCCTTCCATACAATGACCCTCCCCACCTTACCCCCCCAAAACTCATCAGCCATGACTCTGGCAGAGATAATACCTACACAGGGTGTGCTCTGATGGAGAAAAGCAAGGGGTTTGCCCTCAAGTCGCGTAAATGACTATTCGAGAGTTTAAGGGATTATGTTGAAAAAACCATAGCTATTGGAAAGCCAAAGTGGCAATAGGGAAGAAAAAAAAAAAAAAGCGTGACCACTGCATAATTTTTAGATTCAAAACTGTTTTTCAAGGAATTGTATGAATGGTTTCAAGCAAAGCAGGAATTTCAGATTAGGAGAGTGTAACATTTTACTGAAATGGGTTAGTGAGGATCCTGAGCTTTCTGGTGCCACCTGCATCTCTAGGAAATAGAAATTTAAAAGCCAGAGCAGCAAAGGTGCAGGGAAGCAGCTTCTTGACCCCACATGGCTGCTGAGCGAGCTATTTGAACAAGGGACATTTGGTTGTTTTGGGGAAGCGGGGGGCAGTACGGCCCGGCCTCCTCTGACCCGTGTCTCCTGCCCACAGCACTGCGGTGGGTTTCTAAATGGTGCATAGATTACCAAGGACATAGGCCTGATATTTAGAGGCCAATGTTCAGTCAATCTTATGTTTAAGTTGGGGATTGAGGAGTGAAGTGGGTGAAGTTCCAAAAAATCTTTCAACTTGGTGGGTGAACGGAGCCAGGAGGCCCAGGCATTAGCTTCAAAGGGAGTTTGCAAAGAGACAGCTAATGCCTGGCACGAAGGGCACCTCAGGTGGCCTGAGGAGCCTGTCACTGCTGATTGAGGGGTTCGAGGCAGGGACGTGGCCCAGAGCCACTGGGGATGCTGAAAGGAAGTTCACACACTAATGCAGCATAGCTATCCAAAGGAGCCCCTGGTTCAGTGAGGCTCTGGCAGGGGAGGTGATCTGGAAAGGAAGGAGGACGTTACCATTGTCATGATTAGCGTTACAGAGAAGCTGGCTAATCAGAGTGTTCCCTGGGGTCTGAGTGAGTGATGTGGGCGGAGTGCAGACTTGGGGGCGCTAGACGGTAGAAGGTGCCAGTGCTTTCTCAAGAGTCAGGAGCTGTCCGTGGTGCTGAAGTTGCCTCCTGTGGGTGATACAGGCTCTGCATAGTCACCTTTGTTCAAAGTCAGTTCAAGGTGAAAGTCGCATGAAAGGTCATGGAAGAGGGGTCCCTTTTACCACACAGCACACACTCGTGCGCGCACACACACATACGTATGTGAGTAGTGAAGAGTCAGAGGATACAGTATATAGCAGGAACCAGCACAGTCCACGGTCCCCCGATTTGCCGTGGGCATCATTCCACTGTCCAGGATTTCAGTGAAGTTCTTCTTGTCCTAAATATCTCCTGCTGACCAGCAGCCATGGATTATATCTGCCTGATTTCCAAAAGATCATTTAAAACAAATAGGAACTATGCTTCTACATATCTAAACCAAGATGGGGAAAAGACATAAATCATGAAACCTTGAAATACAGTTCCCTAGGGACCTGCATGTGCCTGGATCTTCCAGGTTTTTATAGCTGAAATATCCAATTGCTCAGTGTGAATAATGATCTGAACAGAACAGTGTTGATAAAGTCCCTTCCTCTCCTTAGGAAGTGACTGTGTAGACCTCCTCCTCCACCTCCAAGGCAGACACCAGCAAGCCTTGGGAGGGGAACAGGCTGGGAACTTCGTGGGTAACACGAAGGGTGGCTCAGGAGCCCATGATGACCAGGCCACCTAGCGGGGGAGGGTGAGACCAGTGTTCCCAGCGGCCAGATGTGTCGCTCTCCACACCGCGCCCAGGGATCGAGGAGCGGCTGCCACAACAGTATAAGCGCACAGGGTTGCATCGGAGGGAAAGCCAGAAGACACTTCAAGTTTCCCGGAAGGGCGCCACCCAGCAAACCTTGGGATGCTCTGTGCACACCAGCAGAGGACTCACTGACTTCCTAGCTGTTTTGTGTTGTGCCCTGGCCAGGGTAAGCTCCCAGACTTAAACTCCAGGCAGAGCGTGTCTGTGTATAAACATTAATGCAGGGAAAACATGGATTGATTTTTGTACCATTGCCACATCTGTAGACAAGTACTTTGCTGATTTTTAAGTTTTAGGAAGTCTGCATTTGTTGTTTGCATCCTTTCCTCACCCTTTTAGGAAGGCATCTTCCCAATGGTGGGGTGTTGGGACCGGTCAAGGCTCTGTCAGAGAACTAAGCAGTCCCCCTTCAATGACCACACAGAGTGATTGCACCTGCTTCCTCCATGCCACCGGGACCATTGTGTTTCCTACTCGAGTCATCTCAAAAATGGCTTCAATCCTCCATCCTCATCTCTGTAAATGACATGATAGATGGTTTATAAACTCAGCAACCGTCTCCTCCATCAAAATTATACACGTGTGATGTACCGCATATCACCTGCTGTGTAAAGGGATGGGGCGGGTGGTGGAAAGGCTATGCTAAGATACAGAAAGCAGATATTTTTGTAGGTAACAGAGGCAGTACCCTGAGGCGCTGAGAGGTGCGCAGGAATAAAGACATTTTATAATAAAAGCATGCAACGCTGTAGCTTTTAAATGTACAGACATCTCGCTCAAAAATATCCAAACCGATGGTGGGGAGAACACCGAGCCTAACCTCCTGTGGGGCACCGGTTAGCACTGCTGCCTGGAGAGGGTGTGTTGCATGGTGGCGTCACTGATGGAATCTGCCAGAATCTTTCCATCTTACTCTTCATTACTTCTGGATTTTTTTTCCTTTTCTTTTTTTTCCTGAAAATACTTCAGAAATAAAGTGACTACATTTTCCAGCAGAAAGGTATATTCTAACCACAGGGTAACTCATCATTTTTAACATGAAAATAAACTCTTAAACATTCTTCCGTGGTTTCCTTATTTTATGCACATGTTCCCTGTTCAATTTCAGCCTCTGTATGATTTCACTATTCTTATATATATATTTTTCTTCTTAGCCAGAGATTTTTCATACATTTGATACAGCAATAAATGGAAACCAAAAGAAAATGTTTCTTAAAAGTTGCAAACAGCTTTTACCTTTGGAAAGTTCTCATTTGTCTTCCCAGCTGGGGGACACTTATTCCGGGATATCTTAGAAGGAGGGCTCATGACACGTCGCTGTCCAGGGTCACACCGTCTTGGACTCAGTGCTGACATGCGGGATGCAACGGCCCCTGACCTTGGGCTCCCTTCTGGTCGTCCCTTGTCACTGCTCCCTCGTGTGTATGTATTTGGGGGCAGAGGCTTGAACAGGGCGAGGACTGGGTGCCGAGGGCCCAGAACAGGCAGAGCTCAAGAGACGTAAGAAAGACACAGGATGGTCAGGCTCCTGCTTGGGAGGCTGATTAAACGTTTCCGCTGACCACTGGCCAGGCAATGCTAAGCCCCCGAAGTTTCTCGGTTGGCATGTGTGTCCTTCCCGACACTGCCAGCATCATCTTGCTTTCAGGGGGAGGGGATGCCATTTGGGCAGTAACTTAACACGTCATGATAAATGCCCCCTACTAAGTGGGCTCTGCAGGCATCATTTTGAGGCACTAGGTATAAACATGATCTGCAGAGTAGCAGCCTTCAGATGAGCCCAGATGCTCTGCCAGGTGTGGAGGATTTTCCACGTTCCGGGCAAACGCTGCCCACTGCCCACCTCCTCCTGGACCTCATCCTTGGAACATGAGAGGACGGAGACACGGACCCTGCAGTCACTCCCCAAGCCCAATGTGCATGCATCCAGTTAGCAAGGCTGGTTTCTCAAAGAGAAGGAACAAAGAGAAAGAAACTTGAGATGAAGTTCATAAAGGAACGAACTCTGTATATTTAGATTTTTGAGTGTGTGCAAAATGCAAACGCTGAATTTCAAGTTTGGGGGGTATTGGACTTCTGAATGCCTAATTCAGTTTCTTTATGGTTTTACACAATTTAGATTGGTTATAGAAAGTGGTTTGCTTTTAGAAATGTATAAAAGTACATGAAAGTGCAGAAACATCGTCACCAGAGTTAGTGTTTATAGACACTTCTGTGACTCAAGGTGAGCAGGACACTGTCACTTTCCAGATGGGAAATAATAGTTCAAGTCCAATAGGGCAATGACCCTTCCCACCCAGTCCAAGAAAGTAATCATGCCATCCAAACTGGGCCATCTTTAAGGTCCATGAGATGCCTTTATGATTTCTTTGGCTTTAATTATTGCCCTCAGTCCGTTGTTCAAGATGAAACTGGTTAATTTTATCTTAGGGATTGAAATCTCCTTTGAACCTGCAGAAGCTGAGAGACAGGTGATCTTTTTATGCATCTACCGCTGCCCTTTGGGACTACAAAGCACTTTACAAATAGAGAGATGCATGTTGCTTTGGAATTCAGGGTCCACGTGATGCTGACTGCTCTACCTATTTGAGAAGATTACTTCTCTAGGATGGCGTAAATCGCTGTTGACCTGACACTTTCTTTTCTTCCTTCGGCCAAAGAGCATGCACCCGTATAAGGTTGGAGCTGAAGTAATCTGCTACTTGATGATTACCTCCTTTGTAGGAACCTCACTCGCTAAATAACACCAATGCCAGTGTAGACACTGCCTATCTAATGTAGTTTCTTCACTTAGAGATGCTTCCTTGGAGAGTGTGCCTTTTTTTTTTTTCTTTGTCATAACCGCTATAGGATCTCTGTTTTATTTGGGTTCGTTCCCACATAGGGCAAACGTGCTGTAATCCCATGGGTATTTTAGGCTGACACGGGGCGCCCATCAGGCATCGGTAAGCACCCCCTCCCAGGTACTCAGCACCATAGCCCACTCTTCCGGCTGTGCATTTCCAATGGTGCATTTGTAAACTTGGATCTTTTACTGTCCAGTTGCTCTGGTGCAGTAAATTGCTTACCCCCGCCAGTTCACATCCCCAAAGATGCCAAGACTCGTGGAAAGGGAGAGACCAAAGGGCTTCCTCTTGGCTCAGACCACCAAGTGAGTGGCCTTTCCCATAGCTGTCATCCACTGGTAGCCTTATTTTGAACATCAATTTAAAATGCAGTGCAGATTCCAGGAACAAATCCAGTGCCCGCCCCCTGCCGTGACAGTTGATGTTCTAGGCATCATTGTGGGTTGAAGCAAATGCCCAAACTATGAAAGTCAGGAGCGGAGATTAGAGAATTAAGGAATAAGTGATCACCCCAGTTGGCTGTAAGACAAATGTGAGTGACAGTGGGGACCGTACAGAAGATCCGTGGTATCGGGGGGGATCACATGTGTCTCCCTGTGGCAAATGATTCTTACAATGCTGCTTACCTATCACACGTGTCTAGAGAGCATGTTATGTGCTCACAATTACCTGTCAGTTGCTGAATTTCGGACTCTTCTCAGGTAGGAGGATCTGATCTGGGCTGCAGAGCACAGTGAATGGCCAAACCCACACAGCCCACTTCCAGGTGGCTTCAGGGCAACAATGAGGATGTTTTGTCTGGCATCTGGAAAGAAAAAAAGGTGTTATCTCCTACTTTCTATTTTTCTGAGCTGGGTTCTTCTTGCCTGGGACACGCCCGATATTATAAACAGAGCATGCTGTGATGACACTGTGCTTCTATATACTTTTTTGGTTGTATAATGTCTTTCTCATATTACTCACGGTTTTCAGTATGATCTGTTGTATTTGTTTCTCAGTATATCTAACATATCTGTAAAGGCACTTCCAAACATTTTGAAAATGAAGAAATAAAACGTGTTGGATGATTCCTTGTTATAGTAAAATAATCAATTGGTAGGTTCCAGGAAATTACCTCATCTTCAAATAGGTGTTCCACGGAGAGGGTATTAAGAAGACGTTAGGCTTGGCCTTGAGGCAGCTAGCTTTCTTCAGAGTCTTGAGGATGGCTATTGGCCAAGACCTTGAGAATTAGAGAAAAGAAGCCTTATTTAAATTTGAGAGCAAGATTCCAACGGAAAGAGAATTGCTCTGTGCCCTGGGGGAGGTGTTCTGTCTAAATAGCGTGTTCAGATAGCTCCCTTGGGGGCACCTGGGTGGCTCAGTCTGTTAACTGTCTGACTTTGGCTCAGGTCATGGTCTCATGGTTCATGGGTTTGAGCCTTACATTGGGCTCTGTGCTGACAGCCCAGAGCCTGGATCCTGCTTTGGATTCTGTGTCTCCCTCTCTCTCTCTCTACCCCTCCCCCACTTGCACTTTGTCTCTCTCTCTCTCTCTCTCTCTCTCAAAAATAGATAAACATTAAAAATTTTCTTTATAAAAAAGAAATAGCTCCATTAAGAAGGAGCATGAGTTTCTATAGTTAAGACATACAAATTCAGTTCTTGAAGAAAGCCAAGAGAAGCCCATCTTTCCTTAAAGCTTACAAAGGTCAATTTTAATGAAAGAGAAAGCTTTAGTAAGATGTGTCCCCGCAAGCCAAGGGAAAGTGAGTTCTACTTATAAAAGTTCAGTCCCAGGAAAACTAACTTAGGCACCAAAAATTCCAATTCTTATTCATAGTCTTGGGATGTGTTGCATTTAACTCCAGAACCACTAAAATATTTCCATACCTTGGGTTTCCACCACTCTGCAAAGTTTAAGCAAGAAAGGGACCCCGTTACACCACACCCATGCCCTCTACAGACAGTTGGCTCTGAGGGCTAGGTGGCCTGAACTAAAGTCTGCTGGGCTAAGTCTCTGTCAAAAAGCAGCTTTAGAGAAACAAGTGCCCCTGGCTGGCTCAGGATCTGTGACAACCGTGAGCCAGCGCCCGGCCCCCAGTTCACTGTGATGGCTCCAGGAGTCTGTGACAGCTTTGTAACCTGGGGCATGAGCAGCACTACCCCAGACACACACAGGTCCCTACAAAACTCCCTTCCCTTCCTGCGAAAGGCAAAGGCTATAAGGAGAAGATGGCTGGGTAACACATTGCACGCGTTCTGTGCCTTGACCCTCCTTTAAACAAGAACAGAATCAAGAAGACAGCGTCGCCAAGGCATTGGGGGCCACCTTGGAGGTGAGATCAGTCTGCATGAAGAAACAGCAGGTGAGTTTCCAGGGTGGAGTGGACTGACCTGCATGGGAAGGAGAGTCCTGCTCGGTGCCACAGGTCATTAGGGGTGAGGGGTGTTGAAAGTGAGTATTTTTGTATTCTAAGGTTTTTTCCCCCATGGTGCTTGCCCTAAAAATAGTACATGAACTTGAACATTGTGTATCCAGATTTTCTTGGTTTAGCTCTGCAAGATTAATAATGGATAGCATTGAAGTTGACACTTTAATAGCATTATTTTTTCAGAAGTCATACACGGGAGCTTATGCTTCCCATTTTTCTTAATCTACCAACGTGTTATGACTATCTTTGACCTAGGAGCTTTCCAGTGGCCCTCTCGGCAGGATCAGAACATGAATTTGGATTGTACAGGTTGTGAGTGGGTAATGTTCCTTTCTGTGCGCACTGGGAGGGTGGTCAGGGGTAGAAAGTGAGGGTGCGGGAGGGCAGGAAGCATGAGCACTGTCCATTGTTGCTCCTCGGGGTCAGATCTGCCCATGGGGGAGATTCCTTCCTGCTCAGTTGGGGAAGGTTAGCCCTTGAAGGTCATTTGAGGAACACAAATAAACAGGGAGGCTGGAGACATCAAGGATCTCTAAACTAATGAGGACTTCTGTCCTCAACGTTAAGTTCTCCTCAAGGAGGCTCTGAACTTCCTGCCTTTCCTTCAGCGACCTGAAATCCAGGTCTGATCTTGGGAGACTTGCATGAGCCCTAGGCAGTCCTCACCCCCCACTCAGACTAAACTACAAAGAGAGAACCATCAAACCCAAAATGGCTACAGAAAGACAATATTGTGTCAGCTTTGCTCACCGTTAAGTTTAGAAGCCATAAAATTTCTGTGGCTTTTGGAAACAATTCACAGGTGAGACTTTCTAACTTTCCAGGAATTTCCGAATGCATACAGTGATCACCGGGAGATTGTAACCGATTATAAGTAATAAGGAACTAGGTAAAGCTAGATATTTTCAGAGACACAACAATTTGATTAATTCTTTTTCCTATTTACATGTGGTTGTATTATAAATGTTCGATCTGCCTTGAAGTATGACCTCCAGATACAGGGACATTTGGGGGGGGGGTCTCCAGAGGCCTTGAGAGAGCCCTGGCTCCAGGGACCCCTGGGGATTTTCCTTATCCTGGTGATGAGATGTGTGTCTGGAGAAGGCATGAGCCACAGCAGACCTCTCAGTAAATTCTGGAAACACTAATACTGTTCACCTTACATTTTACTTGCCATTTTGTAACAGTGAGTCTGTGGTTGGAAGTTTATAAAATACTTTTCAAAGACTTATGTTACCTTAGCCTGCAATATTCTTGCAATAAAGATAATCAATATCTTTATTGACAATTAACGTAAAAGTACAAAACAAAGCAGGAAAACTCTAGGTTGGTTCTCACATTAAAAAGAATATTTCTATTAATATGAAATGACTGGGAGCCCAAATAACCACTAATCTAATTGATGTGAGAAAAAAAAAAAGCATCAAAACCATCAACTTTGTCACCAGGTTCATGGGTCTGGCAAAAAAGACGGTAAAACCGCATGTCTGCAGGCCCCTAAGATTTCAGAAAGAGAGGCTACTGCTAAACAGGGATCGGGTGTGGGGTCTTGAGGGGCTGATAAAATCTAGTGTTCCAGGTTGAGGGAACAGACTATGTCAAGGCAGGAAGTTCTGTGTGCTTGAAGAGTAAGGGCAGGGGTCCCGTCAGAGCCTGGCTGCGTGCAGGGCTATGATTCCCATAGGGAGGGATCTGTGGCCCCCTAAGCAGGGACGAGATGCATCCTGAGATGCATTTTTATTTATTTATTTTTTAATATTTTTTATTTATTTCTAGGAGAGAGAGAGAGAGACAGCGTGAGCAGGGGAGGGTCAGAGAGAGAGGGAGTTACAGACTCTGAAATAGGCTCCAGGCTCTGAGCTGGCAGTCAGCACAGAGCCCGACGCGGGGCTCGAACCCACGAACCGCGAGATCATGACCTAAGCGAAAGTCGAACGCTTAACCGACTAAGCCACCCAGGCGCCCTATGAGATGCATTTTTAAAATAAAGGTGTACCAACCACACACAGGGCTCTGCATTTGGAACCTGGGTGCTGCGATAGTCCCTGCTCTGAAGTGTCCACTGTCATCTAGGAGGTGGGAAGCCTGGCAAACAGCCAAATTCTGGTACGTTCTAAACAACAACAAAAAATTCTAGAAAGTGTTGCTGGGTTACTTGGGCTAAACAGGTACCCTTGAAGACACATTTGAGCTGCATGGCGGGACCAAGAAACGTGGCCAGTTCACACGGTGGCAAAACCAAAAACAAACGACAAAAAGCACTAAAAGAGAGCATTCGGGAACACATCCCGGGGTGCATGATGGTTCCTGACCTTCTTCCTTGAAGGTCCCCACATTTAAGAGGTTGGGGAGTCTGGCTCTAAAGAAGCGGTTCAAGCATCCCTTAACTCCCATGTTCCGTGTTATCTACTTAATTTTCCCTTTTTTCCATTGTAATTTATGATTATGAATGTATTAGTTGCCTACTTTTGTCTAAAACCATTAGACCCCTAACCGTCTGCACGGCACGAGCTGAGGAGCCGCTGCTTGGAAGCGTCTCTCGGTTCCGCCGGAAATGGAGATTCTGCCTCTGTGCCCAGCACCGCTGGTGTTTCCCAGGAATCCTGTGCCGACGTGTGAGGCCGGGATGCAGAGGAAGTGCTTGCTGAGTGATTTTAGAGCGTCAGCCTCCCGTTTGAGCTCACCGGTTCTCACTGTGCTCGAAATGCCGGTCTGGGGTCAGGGTGGCTTTGGAACCTCAGGGAAACCACAAAACCCATCCGCAGGGAGGAATGTTCAGGGGCTGCTCAGCCCAAGACACTTGGGGTCCTGCTCCAACTGAGCAAGGGAAATAAGGTAGATGTTTTCATAAAAATCCATCCTGTGAGAACGAATCTGCCTCCTACTGGCCCGGACACGGAGAAGACAGTCACACCAGGGGACTGAGGCCAGCTACGCTTCCTTGTTCCAAAGCACGTTTATGAAAACTGTTGAGAGAGATAATTTTCATAGCACCCAACTCACGCATTTAAAGTATACAGTTCAGTAGCTTCTAGTATATTCACAACTTTACCTTAGTCCATTTTAGAACAAGCTCATCTTGCTTCCAGAAACTCCTTCCCGGGCCACTCCCATTTCCCCCAACCCACCTGCCTAGCAGACCACTGTCCACTTTCTGTACCCAGAATTTTGCCCATTTTTGGATATTTCATATAAATGGGATCATGCCATACATGGTTTTCCTGACTGTTTTTTTTTTTTTCCATTTAGCATACTGACTTCAAGGTTGAGATATATCAGTCACCTAAGTGTAAAAACCAAGGTTTACAACTTTTGAAGGAAACGTGGGGGAATATTTTTCGTTCAGCTTGGGGTAAGCACACATTTCTTTTTTTTTTTTTTAATGTTTTATTTAT